TATGCTGAGCGTGTGGGTGCCGGAGCGCCGGTCTATCTGGCTGCGGTGCTCGAGTATCTGACGGCTGAAATCCTCGAGCTGGCCGGTAACGCGGCCCGGGACAACAAGAAGACTCGCATCATCCCCAGGCACCTCCAGCTGGCCGTGCGCAACGACGAGGAGCTCAACAAGCTGCTGGGAGGGGTGACCATCGCTCAGGGTGGGGTGCTGCCTAATATCCAGGCCGTACTGCTGCCCAAGAAAACCGCCGCTGGGGGCGCCACTAAAAAGTGAAGAGACCATTTTTTTATTTGACAACCCAAAGGCTCTTTTAAGAGCCACCCACGACATCCGTGAAAAGCAGCTAGACCGTCACTAGTGTCCTATTCTTTTAATGTAAAGACTCGCCACTCTAATGAGATTGCTGTAAATGAGAATTTTTGTGCTTTTTTTTAAGACTTTCAGAATGAGCCAAAATAAAACTAGAACAGCTGTCTGGCTAGATTAGTAAATGTGGCGATTTTGCAGTAAGGGACACGGACATGTAAGTAATAGCTAAAGGCGTCCCTATTAATACGCTGATGGGGAACAACATCATGGAATTCCTCTACAGCAGAAGGGGGCCATTCGAGTCTGAACCGACCCTCTGAAGAGCATGTACCGAAGTATCCCGAAGGGAGAAGGGGAAAAGAGATTGTGTGCCCTAAACTTTAAAATCTTTTGAACGCTTTGGCGGGCTTTTGAAATTTACATTTATCGCTGTGGAAACACGAAGGGAGACAATGGGCATATTTAGGCGTTTTATCGGGAATTTGTAAACTTTTGCATACATTGAGTCGAGTACTTCAGTTGTATTTTGTGACTACTGCTAAAATCTCAACTTAACTTTTGTTCACTTTTGTCTTTAAATGTGAAATGTGCGCATCTCCCAGGCCCATTCAGTTCCTGTAATTGCTGCTCTGTCGATCATATATCTCCTGTATACAGGCAACGTTCAGTTATGTTCTGCGATCAATTTCTAACTTCGCTGCCGCTG